GGGAGGCCCTGGAAATGAATATTATTTAACCCTGTGAAAAGTTATCACCCAGTCCTCTCCCAGAAAAATGAAATATCCCAGGAAATATTGAAATGGCAGAATATTATATTTCCCTGGATGTGAAAAGGAAGAGACATGTTTTGAAGAGAGAATAGCTTCCTGCCCCCACCCACTTTGTCAATGGGCCATTGAAAAGGCCAAGCCAGTCCCTTTACATAATAAAGAGTTCTCCCCTTCAACTCCAGGGGATGGGATTAAGGCATGATAATATTGGCCCTTTACCCAACTCACCACATGGCATCTGAGAATTCAACCCAACCTGGATGCAAAACGCAGCCTAGAGAGTTGCCCCTGCATGGTCCCATGGGAGTCTGACAACCAATCAGAATACAAGCTCAAGATCAAAGGCCAGAGAGGGCATAAAACCAGGGATTCAGCATCTCAATCCCACTTCTCTCCTTCTCCACCAATATTGAAGCATGTGATCACCTTTTCTGTGATTTATTTAGATACACCATTTTGGCACTAACTAGCGGAAAGCCAGTACTGAAAGTTCCTGGGCTTTCCATGTGACTACAAATAGGATTTTCTCAATTTTTCAAAACAATGTCAGATTGTCCAACTGGGATGAGAATTGGTTGCTTGGCGACTTCCTCTGACCAGCCAGCTGTTGGAACAAGGCTGGCTCATTGGCCAGTTCTGTTGTTTGGCTGAAACTCCCCCCAGCTCTCCCCCCTTTCAGCTCCCAAATGTGACAAACTGAATTCATATGAATAACCTGGATACAACCAAACCCACAATCTAACAAAATTCAGGCTTGACACCCAGATCCAATTGAAGAAGCATGCCAACTTCCACAGGGTTCCGTCAAAAGTTGCCATGAACCTTGGTGGCAGTGCGGCAGTGGGTGCAGTCGTTGGAGCCGATGACGGACCTGCAGGGGTTGTGGCCGGCAGAGCCAATGCTGGCTGCAGTTTTGCGGCCAGCACCCACTAGCACTGCATCTACCCCCGGCCGGGGTTGAAAACCCAGCAAGGGGTATCAGTTTGGCTGATGGCAGCATGAAGACTGGCTGATGAGACTGGCTGGTTTTGCCAAGCCCGACGGCTCCAGTTGCTGCGGCAGTCTGGTTCAAGCAGGAGCTAACACTTTGGTGTATTGGACCTGTTGGGGGAGGCAGGGTCGTACTTCATCCCAGGCGGAGTGGAAAGATGCCGTCATCACACTCTTATCTGGGAAGGTGAAGGTAGGCTGAGCCAGAATCCATCTGCTCCATCTTCCCTGACTATTCACACCGCCCAAGTAACGGGTCGGCTCTCAGGGCTCAGGACCCCGGACAGCGGCCCGGCATTCGGGGAGCTTGTTAAAGTTTTTAAAGGAGATTTGATTAATATCAGCGTTCCAAGTAATACTCCAAACAAAGGAAGACTCCAAGGCTATCAATTCCTCAAAGTTTCATTTTACTAGAGATGTCATATTGGCACATCTGGGAGAAACCCGAATCTGAAAGTTCCAGGTTTGTCCCCACCCAAAAGAAAGTCAAAAATCCATCCCCTGCACCCAGAAGTCTATCAAATGGCCCAATCATTTCACCATGCCTACTGGAGACAACCCCTGGAGAGTGAACTGGAGTCACTCATCCAGTTACAGCCGAGTGTATGGAATGATGTTATGGCTAATTCTCCACCAACTGCTTGTAACTCCACTCTCCCATTTTCCCAGGCACTAAATGTGGCAGCTCTGAAGCTTCAAAGAAAAAATGGCTTCCAGGGCTGACATATTTTCTAGATATTTTCAAGGATTTCATGAATCATGAATGTAGAAATCACCACGTCTATGTCACACCACTGTAGACATGCAAAATAAACATAATGGAATTTTGGAAAAATTCAGAAGAATTTTTTTTAACTTTCTACAGTTTGATCTTTTTCTCTAACTTTGTTATCGTTTTCATTTCTCTTTTGCTTTGAAGGTAATAATGGGAAGGAGAATCAAGATTCCTGTGAACTGTTCCAAATGACCAATGCTAAAGATGGAATGGAGACATTTGGAATTCGAATGGAATTAGAAAGCCATGAGAGAAATAATAGGAATAATGAAAGATTACCTTCTACTGATGCTCCAATGCAAGACTTTCTTACCCAAGAAGAGAAAATAAGGAAAAAAATTATTGGGAAAAGTGTGAAGCTAATCAAAGATAAATTACATGTAAGCGAACACTATTTAACCCAAAACAAAGGAGAAGATGCTATAAGACACAATGGAAAAAATTACAATGGGACATTCATTCATCCTCTTGGAAATAACATCCTTACATCTCAAAAACTGATTCACTCAAAAAAGGACCCTTATAAATGTTTAGAATCTGGAAAACATTTTAGAACAAGCAAGCAACTTACTTCAGATGAAAGGATTCATACTGTGAAGGAGCTATACAAATGCAGAGAGTACGGTAACAGGTTCAGTAGTGGCGGTAATCTTATCATCCATAAAATTATCCACACAGGAGAAAAACCATATAAATGTATGGAGTGTGGGAAAACCTTTACTCGTAGCAATGGACTTAGAATCCACAAAATGATCCACACAGGAGAAAAACCATATAAATGCATGGAGTGTGGGAAAACCTTTACTCATAGCAATGGACTTAGGTACCACAAAATGATCCACACAGGGCAAAAGCCATTTAAATGCATGGAGTGTGGAAAGACCTTTGCTCAGCGTGGTCATCTTATTTCCCATAAAATGATCCACACAGGGGAGAAACCATTTGAATGCATGCAATGTGGTAAAACCTTTACTCGTATCTATGAACTTACTATCCACAAAAAGAGACACATGGGAGAGAAACCATATAAATGCATGCAGTGTGGGAAAACCTTTACTCGTAGCAATGAACTTACTATCCACAAAAAGAACCACACAGGGGAAAAGCCATTTAAATGCATGGAGTGTGGAAAGACCTTTGCTTTGAGCAGTGTACTTAGAAGCCACAAAAGGATCCACACTGGGGAGAAACCATATAAATGCATGGAGTGTGGAAAAACCTTTGCTCTGAGCAATAGACTTGCTATCCACAAAAAGATTCACACAGGGGAAAAGCCATTTAAATGCATGGATTGTGGAAAGACCTTTGCTCAACATTGTCATCTTATTTCCCATAAGATGATACACACAGGGGAGAAGCCATATAAATGTATAGAGTGTGGAGAAACCTTTACTCAAAAAAGTAGTCTTATTTCCCATCATGTGATCCACACAGGGGAGAAGCCATATAAATGTATGGAGTGTGGAAAGACCTTTGCTCGAACATGTAATCTTATTTCCCATAAGATGATCCACACAAGGGAGAAGACATTTAAATGCACGGAGTGTGGAAAGACCTTTGCTCAAAGCCGTTATCTTGCTTCCCATAAAAAGATCCACTCAGAAGAGAAACCATTTAAATGCATGGAGTGTGGAAAGACATTTACTAAGAGCAATGCTCTAACTTCTCATAACAGAATCCACACAGGAGAGAAGCCATACAAATGCATGGAATGTGGAAAGACCTTTGCTCAGAATGGTAATCTTACTGCTCATAAAAGGATCCACGCTCGGGAGAAAGTATCTAACAATAGCAATTCCACTTCAGACTTATCAACCACGCCACAAAGCTTTATAGCAGTATTTGAACAGTTTACAAAGTCAGCATATTGTCCCAAGAAATCTGGGTCCTCATTATAGGCTGAATCAATCACGAGCTGTTGGTAATTAGCTTGTAGTACTGCATTTTAACTTCTGACCCACCATGTCTATAGATTTTTATGTGTATGGATATTGTTCCTTTCTGATCCATATGAGAAAAGGATGAATCTAACAAAGTGAAATTTAATGTGTAGAAAAGTAAAGTTTTACCCCTGGGCAGAAAAACAGATTACATGAAACCTGGCTCAAAAATCGTAACTGTGAGAGGGACCTTGGAAGTCTGAATGATGATCACTTGAACATGAGTCATCTCTGTGCGGCAGCAGCCAAAAAAGCTAATACAATGTTTGGTTGTATAAACAGGCATAGAATCAAATTCACATGAAATATTAGAGAGGGCATTGGACGAGAAGGATGCGTTTGGGAAGTGTGTCTCCTCCAGTTGTTTCTACCATACTGTTCTCCCAACTTTTTTGGACCTTGGGCCCCTTGCGAGGGAGGACCTGGACATCAATTTTCCTTTTCTATATCGGACCAATTTTGAGCAAATTTCGCTCTTCTGCGCAGCTTTTATAATTTTAAATTGTATGGGGAGTGTTTGGTATGACTGTGGTTAATTGAATGTTCCCACTTTTTATTGATGATATTGCTGTTCCATTGTTTTTAACTTGTTTGTGGGGATTGACTGATTGTATATGTGTGTATGTGTGAGTAGGCCGGGACCACAGCCGGGTACCTCCTGCACTGAGTGCTTTGCAGAAGTGTCAGGGGGGGCTAGGCCTAATCCCGTCCTTAGGATGTCTGTGTTGAAGGCCCTGCCGGTGAACTCGGTGGCCAGGGGGCAGGGGGGAGGGACCATAGACGCGGGAGTGGGCCGGAACATTGGGGTCATAACAGGGAGGGGCAGATATGGCGGGAACTTTAGGGCGAGCCATTACCGGGGAAGGAGGGTTCCCTATGTCACAGAGATCCCTCCTTCCGTCCCTATTAGTTCCACTCCAAGGCCAGATGGCATGAGTAGTCAGGAGCCTGATCTCAGGCTGTTGTTGCTAAATGCCAGGTCTGTGGTACACAAGGCTCACCTCGTCCAGAACCTAATTTTAGACGAGAGG